ACATCTGTATTTAGAATTCTGTGATCCAAAAGGGAGGGTGAATATCCAGGAGGGCAAAAGCAGGTATCACAAGCTTGGGGGATGAAAGGAGGAAGGGCTGAGCAAGAAAGGGAAGTGCTAGTGGTATGTCTGAAAAGCAAGGCAGGCAAGCGAGAGGAAGGCTTGTGTGTCCAGGCATCTGTAGACTTCTGAAAGAGCGGGATGGTCCTGAGTTCTGTTTTCCCAGACACAATTTTTACCTTGGTTAATACAAAAGGGGTGACTGGCTCATCCCTGGATTTCTTTACAGGGAGAATGTTGAGGGATAAGTAGGAGTTGATGTACCTGCCATGGGTTTTCTTGTTAGTTAATACAGAGCATAAAAGCATGTGCACACATGAGCATCCATGCAAAAAGAGGTTCCATGTACATAATTTTCATGGCACTCCCTGACTTTGAGGAGTGGCAAACTAGTGCATTAAATCTATGAGGCTTCGGCGAATGGGGCAGCATAAAAATGTTTTAATAAATAAATAAATAAATAATGATATGGTTCATCTGGTCTTCTGACCTGTTTATAGTCTTTAAGAGAAAACAAATGTAGAAAGTTCGGTTTGGGACCAGTCTGCTTTATTTATTCTTAAAATTTATATTTTAAAAATAGTTGCATTACTGGCAGAGAGTGAGGTATTTTGCATATACCTGGAGTTCACATACCTCTTTACATACATCATGTGTAGTCTACACAGTGAATTAGATCTACTAACTATGTACTGAAGCATCTCATTTCAGTTCCTTACACATCTGCTAGATTTATCTTCTCAAAACTGGACTTAAGATGCTAAGGCAGGGACACTGAACTTCTTTCAGTCTGAAGGCAGAATTCAGTTATGGAGTAGTTTGTCAAAGTAAGTGACAAAGACAAGACAAGACCAAGACAAAAGCAGTGGGGACAAAAATACTAGCATGTTTTAGCTTAAAACTCTTACTGTCCTTAACTAAGACCGCGGAGAATCATTGCATTCTTTTAGAATGGGAGGAAAACTATATGAGACCTAGGAAACCACCAAATGCTTGGTCATCATGAAAGGGCTGTGGCCACATAAGGAATCCCCTTGGGCCTGATTTGTCCTGGTCCTGAGGCTGTGTTCCCTTGGCATTAAGGTGCTTGCTTAAACATGGCAATTGAGTCCACTGCTGTATTTGCAAACAGGCATATATTAGAAAGGCGCTGGAACACGCTGTCATCCAAAAGACTAAGTTCTGCAGTGCTACCCTAGATTTTACTCACTCACCCATCTGCCACAGCTTAAGAACTGTGCAGAACTTTCGACAATGTTTAGGAGCACTGATTCTGAGGAAGAGGCAGTTTGGCCTTTCATTCCAGCAATGAGCTCTTTTCGGCTTTCACTGAGGTTATGTTCCAGCCTTCCCTATCCTGATGCCCTCCAAAAGCAGTTGACTGGAACTCCCATCAGCTAGAGCCAGCATCAGGAAGCTTGGAATTGTAGTTCAGAACATCTGGAGAACACCAGGTTGGGAAGGACAGGCTTAGAATCACCAAGAGGGGACTTTTTAATGAAAGAACAAAGAGTTAAGTTCATAGTCTTGAATTCTATGTTTGAGTGTGCTTAGCATTTGGTTATGTTTAGTGGATCTTCAGAGTTGATCTGACAAGCCTGAAGTCTGCCCACCCTGTTCCTTTAAGTAATGGGTCCTCAAACTATGGCCCGCGGGCCAGATCCCACCACGCGCATGTGCACACCCACCGCCGCCCACCTTGCCCCGTGCGCAGGGAGGCAGCGGTTGCTCGCTCAGAGAAAATGATCTCCAAGTGAGCAAGCCACTGCCTCGTGCGCCCGCCTCCCGGCGCATGCCCGCTCCTGCCCATGCCTCGCCTCAGCGCATGCACCCGCACGCACCACCACTGCCCCCACCCCCTCGCCAGCCCACGCGCACCGGCAGCACCACCTTTCCGGCCCATGCCCAGCACCAGCACCTTTCAACTGGTCCCCTGGTGAAAAAGTTTGAGGACCCCTGATTTAAGCCCTTACCTTGAGGCCAATGTGAATTCAGATATCTTAATAGGTCAATAATGTAAACCTTTATATTAGCATGCCATGAAAGAGCATGGAAGGACAAGGATACTTCTTTTCTCTACCCAACAGCATTACTCATAAACAGTGCTTTTTTTGTAAACTCACGTCTCTGGCCGGAACTCACATCGCTGGAAGTAAGCGCGCAACCGCACACACCAATCCCAAGCCAAGCAGCGGAGCAGCTTCCCAAGCCGAGAGCAGCACCCTCACTATCTCACTAGCAGACAGCAGACACAAAAGCAGCCTGCAGGCACTATGTTAATGATGTTTGCTGCTGATCTGCTACGATTCAAAATCACTTCATAAAATCCATTGGAAAAAAAGGTGCCGGAACGCTGTTCCAGTGCGTTCTATGACAAAAAAAGCCCTGCTTTTGATGATGAAATAAACAATATTATTTCATCATCAACCACATGTAAGGCTCAAGATTTTAATAATAATAATAATAATAACAACAACAACAACCATCTGAAACTGTCCTAACACCTTGAGGCTTCCGAAGGATCTACCTAGGTTGGTTATAGCTACCTAAGTCTAGCTAGGTTGGTTTATTCCCTGACACCCAGCTTAGAAAGTAGGAGCCCAACTAAATGTGACATTTTGAAGCCACTGTCACAATTTCCCATAGCAGGAAAATAATGCCAGTATTAATCCTTATTCCATTTCTTACCCAGCTACAATGCTTAGATATTCTTTAGCATTTTTCCTGAAATCCATCAGCTATTCAAGGCTTTTCACAGTATGATCCTGAACCTTTTAAGATGATTTCATTGAGGATTCTTTGAAAGTATGCTGCTTGGTATGAAATGTGCTTGCTCTTAGGAAGTGAAATATGTGTCTACGCTTGTCCAATCCAAGCTGAGTGCACCAAAACTACCTCCAAGCGAAGAACAGTACTGAAGAGCATGTTATGTTATGTAATGTTATGTTAGTCGCGAAGTCGTGTCCGACCCATCAGGACCCCATGGACAACATTCCTCCAGGCCTTCCTGTCCTCCACCATCCCCCGGAGGCCACTCAAGCTCACGCCGACTGCTTCAGTGACTCCGTCCAGCCACCTCATCCTCTGCCGTCCCCTTCTTCTTTTGCCATCTATTGTTCCCAGCATTAGGCTCTTCTCCAGGGAGTCCTTCCTTCTCATTAGGTGGCCAAAGTATTTGAGTTTCATCTTCAGTATCAGGCCTTCTAAAGAGCAGTCAGGGTGGATCTCCTCTAAGACTGACTGGTTTGATCTTGCAAACCAAGGCACTTGCAGGAATCTTCTCCAAGTATCTCAATTCAAAGGCCTCAATTCTTTGGTGCTCAGCCTTTCTTATGGTCCAGCTTTCACAGCCATACATTGCAACTGGGAAAACCATAGTCTTGACTATACGCACTTTTGTTGGCAGGGTGATGTCTCTGATTTGTAGTATGCTGGCTAGATTTGCCATAGCTTCCCTCCCAAGGAACAAGCATCTTTTAATTTCTTGGCTGCAGTCCCCGTCTGCGGTGATCTTGGAGCCCAGGAAAATAAAATCTGTCACTACGTCCATTTCTTCGCCATCTATTTGCCAGGAGATGATAGGACCGGATGCCATGATCTTAGTTTTCTTAATGTTGAGTTTCAAGCCAGCTTTTGCGCTTTCCTCTTTCACCAGCATCAAGAGGCTCTTTATCATGCCATCTTTGACTGCAGAGCACATACGCGTCAATCTGATTTCTGTGTTGACCATCTGGTGATGTCCATGTGCAGAGTCGTCTCTTGGGTTGTTGGAAAAGAGCGCTATGACCAGTGTGTTCTCTTGACAAAATTCTGCCAGCCTGCTTCATTTTGTACCCCAAGGCCAAACTTGCCTGTTATTCCAGTTATCTTTTGACTTCCTACTTTTGCATTCTAATCCCCCATGGACATCATTTTTTGGTGTTATTTCTAGAAGATGTTGTAGGTCTTCATAGAACTGGTCAACCTCAGCCTCTTCGGCACCAGCGGTTGGGGCATAGACTTGGACTACTGTGATGTTGAATGGTTTGCCTTGGATTCAAACTGAGATCATTCTGTCATTTTGGAGATTGTATCCCAGTACTGCTTTTCCTATTCTTTTATTGACTATGAAGGCTACTCCATTTCTTTTGAGGGATTCTTGCCCACAGTAGTATACCTGATGGTCATCTGAATTAAATTCACCCATTCCTGTCCATTTTAGTTCACTGATTCCTAAGATGTCGATGTTCAGTCTAGTCATCTCTTGTTTGACCACGTCCAGCTTGCCTTGATTCATGGATCTTACATTCCAGGTTCCTATGGAGTATAGATCTTTACAGCATCAGACTCTCCTTTCACCACCAGACACATCAGCAACTGAGTGTCCTTTCGGCTTTGACCCAGTCACTTCATTATTTCTGGTGCTACTAGTACTAGCCCTCTGCTCTTCCCCAGTGGCATATTGGACACCTTCCGACCTGAGGGGCTCATCTTCCGTCCTCATATCTTTTTGCCTTTTGGTGCTGTCCATGGGGTTTTCATGGCAAGGATACTGGAGTGGGTTACCATTTCCTTCTTCAGTGGATCAGATTTTGCCAGAGCTCTCTGCTATGACCTGACTGTCTCGGGTGCCCCTGCACGGCATAGCTCAAAGCTTCATTGTGCTCCACAAGCCCCTTGGCATGGGTGAGATGTATGCACTTAGTTGAAAAGAAGAATGTTTGTATTCTTGTTGCTGATCCTGGGGCATCCTCTAACAGAAGGGTGCCTGTTGGTTTCTAAGGAGCCCAGGTCTTGGTCCAGAAAGGTGGCTTACACAAATTTTAATAAATAATGGATAGATAAGCCCGTCATTTCTCAAGGTTGCTTTTATTTAACTAATGATTCAAAGAAATAGAAGGCTTACTGTATTGGTGTATATGCTGTCCGTGAAATGTTTTGGTTTCCTTTATTCTTTTCAGATTATTACCCTAAGAGACTATATCCCCAAAATCATTGGTCCAGATGCTTTTAACCAATATGTTGGTCCTTATAAAGGCTACAATCCCACAGTAAATCCTACAGTAGCCAATGTATTTTCTACAGCAGCTTTTCGCTTTGCTCATGCTGCAATTCATCCAGTAATAAAGAGACTTAACACTCAGTATCAGGATGACCCAAATCTTCCTAATCTTCAACTGCATGAAGTTTTTTTTACTCCCTGGAGACTCATTAAAGAAGGTACTTTTTAATGTGATTACATCTTCTTACATTACTGCTAAGTTGTTACTAATTGAATTTTTGTAAAAACAAGGAGGATTTTGTTTAAATTCTGGCAGTTGAACGGTATACAAAGAACAAGTGCTGAAGCATTTTGTTCTTTGTGGCTAGTGTTTAAGAAAGAGATGAAATTAAAATAAACTCTTCATTTACTTTGTCTGTCTTAATAAGCAAAGCTTGCAATTTTGGGAGGACGGGGTGAATGAGGAGACAGACAAATGCATGCACAGGCAGGTTTGTGCAACTTTAAGAAACAATTAAGACACTTGCTGAATTCTTTTAATGAGGTTGAAGTGATATAAAAAAGTTTGTATAAAAGCATACAAAATACAGCAAAACATGGTGTTACATTGATGATATAGTTAAGACTTGCTTCCCTGGAGTCTGCTCACTTTCTTATTCATACCTTTTATATAGAAAAGATTGTGCATAGAATTGCTATTATTTGCCTGACAATATTCAATAACAGGTGTTAAAGTTGTTCAGTTATTGCTGCATTTCTGAAACCTAGAAGATAAGTCTGTGCAGAGTTATCTCATGTCTGGGCATAAGTCTGGACTGTAACCATGAAGAATGACAAAAGCCACGGTTACCTCTCCTTTCTGTTCTAAGGTGGTTTGGATCCCTTACTAAGAGGAATTTTGGCAACACCTGCAAAGCTACAGGTGCAAGATCAGTTGCTGAATGAGGAGTTAACGAAGAAACTCTTTGTGCCATCTACTAATGGTTCACTGGATTTAGCATCATTAGATTTACAACGAGGACGTGACCATGGGCTTCCAGGTCGATTGCATTCTTTTTTAAAAGCTATACTATATATTATACTACTATATAGATTAAGATATCATATTAGGGTGGACCATCATGCATAGTTCATCCATGTTGTGAAGCATGATCGGTGTCAGATGTTGTAAACCTTTCCTTGGAGGTTAAGCAAAGTAGATTGTATTCTATGAGAACTTCTGCTTATTCAAGGTATGATTCTACCTACCTACCTACCTACCTACCTACCTACACACACACACACACAAACAGAAACATACAGGCTTTTCCTGATCATTACAGAACCCTTTGGCACTGAATGATTATAAATGTGGAAACATCGTTCCAGAAGAAGTTTCAACAGGAAGTGTAATAATGAAAACACAATGACTCTTACATCTAAATTTTAGATGTATTTTTTAAAATGATTAGCTATTATGGTTGCTTGTGCATATAATTGATGTTGACTTGCTCTGCACAATTTCTTGCTATCCCTGTATTGCATTTTTATTGTTATTTTAGCTTCAAATAATATGGCCAAAGGACTTTTGTTATTGGGCAAATTTTAAATATATTGAATAAATCAACAATAACTCACTAAGTTACTACAGTCAGCAACCACACACATTTCAGATTAAGGTGAAAGTTTCTAGGGAAAATCCTTGTTTGAATCAGGTCTGGGACTAGCATTTTAGAATTAGACAGTGCTTGCTCTGAAAGGATAGCTCCTTTAGTTATCTCTAACTGTTTGAATCTGACTGGGAATGCGATATTTATAGGTTACAATGACTGGCGAGAATTCTGTGACTTGCCAAGACTAAGGACTGAAAGTGACTTTATAACAGTGATGGAAAACAGAACAGTTGTCAGAAAAATCATGGACCTGTACAGGAATCCCAACAACATTGATGTCTGGTTAGGAGGTATAGTAGAAAGCCTGCTTCCGAATGCTACAACAGGACCATTGTTTGCATGTATAATTGGAAAGCAAATGAAAGCACTGAGAGATGGTGATCGGTAAGTTTATTGTTTTGTTACAGCTGCCTTGGGAAAGAACAACCAAATAGAATTGCTCATTTTTACCCAATAGAAACTTTGGTCCCTGGGTGGGGCCAAGGAGAAGTGTTTATTTTTCACTTGCAGCTTCTGCAGGGTGGGGTGGGCAGATCTCCTCCAGCTTCTGGAGCCTGAGTGTTGTGATATGACGGGGGTGGACTCTTATGCTGTCATGGGCCAGCACACACCTGAAGAACAAAAACCTGAGACTTAAATGGAGTGAAGGCAGGAAGTGAGCATAGCAGCGCTCTGCACAACGGCAATTGCCAAGTGGGCACTTTGGTCTGCTGCCACTCAGTCTGCCCTCCTGGCCTCTGTGGAGCATCTTATCCTCATGATCGGATGGAAATGATGGAGATTCTTTGCCGTGGTCTCTCATGCAGCAGCGTGTGAGACCGAGAGCTCAGGCTGAACAGAGCAACCTGGCTATTCAATGCACATGTGTAGAGTACAGAGCCTGAGCTAGCACAGCCAGTGAAAAAACCTCCGAGTGCTTTAGCTTACCAAAATGTAATCTTTACCCAACATTCTGGCTTTTTAATGCAAAAAAAAATCAGGCAGCTGTCCCAGAGGTCAGAAAACTGGCCGGTCAGTTCTTGCCCCAGTGCCAAGTTGGTTCAGAGTTCTGCTAACAGATGCTTGTCTGTGTCATCATTAAAATCCATCCTAGCTGGCTGAGCAGTCAAAAAAATGGCCACCTCTCCATGATGAATTATCCAGATTTCATAAAGTATTTATTATAAAATTTGACATAATTAAATAGTTCTTGCTGAATGGAGCAAGACATTTCCAAGCACCAGCAGCAAATTGAATGAAATGGACTTTGTTGCAACAAAAACTGCCATCCGCGACCTGGGCTTTGATTCCTGTCTCGCCCTCTGCATGAAAAAGTACTCACTAAGCATTGTGACAGTTTATGTACTTCTATATAGAACCTAATTGCTAGCCAAAAGCCACTGTATGTGCTGTTGTGCTTCATGTGTCTATATATGAATGTGCTCTATCATCTCTATCATAATGCACGTACCTTTTGAGGCATGAACAATTGATTTTGGCATCAGGTCTTCCAAGCCAGCATTTCCCATATGCTGGTCAACTGCCAGGATATAGTGTGGTTTGAAGGAGTTTTTGCTATTATTTAAAGTGTTTCTGTAGCTCAATACTACTTTACCTGCCAAGGACAGATTTTCGTTCTTTAGTAGCACCCCTTGATACTGGTGTATCATATGCCTACATTGGTTCATTACTTTCAGAACTGTAAAAGATTCACAACCTAACCCATGCTGGTAGCGTGACATCTACCCAGTGCAAGCTCCAGACTTTGGGGGTCTTCAAGACATGCTCAATGGGCTCCCTCCCTCAGTTGCTCTACCTCCTCATGCCATTGCCACTAAATGCTGCTGCTGCTAGTTCTCTTTCTCATCACTGCTACCACTTACTCGCTTGAGAAACAGGAAACTGGTGAGCAACTTAGCAGTGGCAGCCATCGCGCCTCCTTTGCAAACCGCCTGAGCAAGGGGGCCTGAGCAAGGGGCAATGATGCAGCGAAGAATCAAGTTTAGGAAGCTCTTGTCAGTGAGTCAGCAGGTGCCCAACCATGCCTGCCCTTGGCACTGGCCTGCGTCCATCCATCCCTTCTTTCTCATCTGTTGTACAAATGATCAATGGCATCATTACCAATAAAAATAATACTATTGAATAGAACAACGTATTTTGTTGCATTTATTAATCTTTTCCCATGGTGATGCCCCTAATCCACCATGTGGGGAAGACATGCCCATATAAAAGCAAATACCATTATTCCTCAGCACAATGCACACTGTACATTCCCATGTTTTTCAAACATGTCTTCAAGACGCCTTGTAATGCATTGCCTACTCAGTCTTAGTCAGTGCCCTGGCAATAACACAGCGCTGTAAATCTGTGAGCTGAAGAGAATGCTGTTCTAGGTTTGTTTGAGACCTGCACAAATAACTTGCAAGGTGTGTGCATGTGTATTTATGTCTTGTTTTCATACAGATTTTGGTGGGAAAGCAGTAATGTTTTTACCGAAGCGCAAAGACGTGAACTTGGAAAATATTCTTTATCCAGATTAATCTGTGATAACACAGGCCTCACTGAGGCTCCTCCTGATGCCTTCATACTTGGAAAATTTCCTAAAGATTTTGAGTCTTGTGCAAATATACCCAGCATGGATTTAGGAGCTTGGCAGGAAACTCTCCAACCAGGTAATTCAAAGATTAACAGTGCAATCGTTACTGAGAAGTAAGCTCTGTTGAGTCTCTTGGGCTTACTCCCAGGTAAGTGGGAACAGTATTGCCTCCTGAATGTTGTCCCTTTAGCCAGCAATGTGAAGATAATGGTAATGTTTTGCTAGGGATAGGAAATGGTCTTTATTTTATTTTATTTTATTTTATTTTATTTTATTTTATTGCCCTCAGGTACAAGCAGTGTTTCTTGCCTGCACTGCATGAGAGAAATGTAAAGGTAGCAGTGGGAACATTTCTCAAAAGCAATCTTTAGCAATGATTTCCATGCTAACTGCCTGACCCACAGCTAGGTAACCCAAAGAGCCGTCTTTCATTTCATGAAACTCTGTGCGATGAGATCGGTTTAAAACCAAGTGCTACATCTTAACTATGGCATTAAGTCCACTAAAAATGTAAAAATGCCACCATTTAGGCACATTCTAAATTAAATTGAATAATTGCAACTTGAGTGACAGGAAAAGAAACACACTTTTGGGAAAAGATTGACAGGAGACCAAATCTTAGTATTGACTCAGAATCAAGAATCGTGCTGGTGCACTAGAGGTTAAGAGAACAGCAAACATCATTCTAGCTTTAAATCTGACTGAAAAAGCACAATCTTATGCAAATTTAAGCAGAAAAAGGCTTAAGGACTCCCAGCATAACCCAGCCAATTGGGTTATGTTGCTGGACCATGGTGACAGTTCTGGACCTTGTTTGCTCTCTAAACTTGCATAGGATTGCACTTAAAGAGTCTGGCACAGTACAAGAGAACTATTTGGAGTTGGTTTCTGAAATATAGATTCACAAATGGAAGATTCCCCATCTTGGTTGTTCTTAGTTGTCAAGGTCCTCCAAGTTGTTTAAGGCTGATCTTCCTCCACTGTGGGGAAAGCCAATTCCCACAGCCCACTTGAGGCAAAGACCCTCTGAGACCTTCCAGCCTGGGAAAAAGCAGCTGATAGGGTCACATTCGGAGAGGCATGCTTCTTTGCTGGCTCTTTGCACTAAAAATCAAGGCCACGTGATTTTGGTCTGCACTATCACTGAATCAGGCCCTTCTTAATTATATACTTTACATACACATTTGAAAGCAGATGAGCAAATTTAAATTGACATTGGAGGCAACTAATCACTTTAGACATTATGTGTCTGAAATTATAATTAAGCTGAGTGCATTATTCAGAATAGTTGTATAAATTACCTTTTTGAAATTAGTAACAAATATCACCGTGCAAGAACTGAATAATATAATGAAAAAGAAAAGTCTCTTGAAAAAATGTAAGAAAAAAAGTAAATCCTACAAGAAACAGACACTGCAAAAGAGGTTGGAAAAGCTATGGGGAGCAGCAGATGGGCAGAAGAGTCCAGCAGTCTCTGGGAGAGCATCGCTGGGATCATAGGACAGAGCATATTTCCGCCTGTGGCTATAGAGGCTCCTATTTTATGAGACTGGGCCATTCCCTTTCCTTTTTGCTATGGCCACAGAAAGCATCACAGTGACTGCTCTTCCAAAGAGCAATGTCATTCTTGGAAGTACTTGGAGGGTGCAGAAAGGGGGTAGAACTCTGGAAAGGGAGCAGAGAAGAGTGGATATGTGAGAACCTGCAGCCCCTCCAGCATTTTCCCCATCAGCTTCTGGTAAATCAGCTAGATCTCAGAGGTCTGTCTCTCTAAAAACGTTTGAAAGAAATAACTGGCAGCAAAAGCACTTTCATCTTCCTCCTGCTATGCCTGGTAGACCATAGGATAGACATAAAGCCTTTTGTTTCTCAAGAGCAATCCCATGCACACTTACCTGGGATAGACCTATTAAACTCTTTAAGACCTACTTTTGAGCAGGCATGTGTATCATTCCACTGGGTGATATATATCAAGGGCACTAACAAAAATCAAGAGGGGTAGCACAATGCCTATGGAGATTCAGACTTTGTAAAAAGTTATTATGATAGAAAACATAGAGCAAGAAAGATTCAGGTAAAATAGAACACTAGGGAATGTGCACATATCCAAGAGAACACTAACAATCCATGATTATAACTGGTATGTTGGATTCTCTCCCTGATAGATTACAAAAAAAGTTAAAACCACCAAACTCATAGGAAAAGCTTAAATCTATTATATTTGCCTTATATATGGAGGTAAAAGATTATATTTGTTAAGAAGGATGAACTGCTTCACTGCAGCTATTTGATTTTATATGATCACTGCTGATGGGCTAAGATTTGCAAAATATTTGACAATATCAACTACCTCCACGATATATGAATGGGAGAATTTGCTCTATCAACTTTTATTTTATTGGGAGAAATGAAAGGAAGTATTGATGGAACAGAGTTGTTCCAATCTAGGTAACCTTTGTTAACACTGAAAAAATCATGCATTGGCGGATGTTTTTTATATATTAAAGTCAATGTAGTAACTTCATAATTTTCTTATTCATATAACGTGTGTTTTCTTTGACGCACATGTACATGCACACACACACGCAAAAACCTTTGCGTGGGAAGGCTGGGGTTCCCAAAACCTTTGGCTGCATTTGGGGCAGGGGAACACATGTGCACTTGTACATGCATGAACACACTCATCCTTGCATTCAGACACAAATATGTGCATGCACAGATATACACACACTCACAATTTTCTCTTGCCAGTACCCTTACTAGCAAATGGAGCTCCTCTTCTCTGTCATAGAAATGGAGATATGGGAGGGACTCCCTAGCTTGTGCTACCAAGGAAGAACCCAGCTAGTGCCATGGTGATTTTTTTGCTGCAGGGCGATGTGATATGGAATTCACCTCGTGGGCCATCAGAAGAGGCTTGGCAGGCCACAGGTGATCCGTCAGCTGCAGGTTTTGCACACCTGCCTTACACTCTACAGGTGAATCCCCATGGATGGGAGAACTCTGTTGGCATACCAAACCTCCCCATCAACAAACTGTGGAACAATTCTGTGTGTGTCTACTCGGAAGTAGTCCTATTGAGGTCGGGTAAATAAGCATATGGCTGACAGCTGAGTCTGGGCAGAGGTGTGCATGATGTTCTAGCCCAGTTTATGTGGACTAGTTTACAACTTAGTGTATGTTCTGTTTTTGTTCCTAGAGTTGACTTGTAGCTTCCCAGCAAGAGTGGAACACGGTGATTTCGTTTATTGTTTAGATGCTGGAAAACTCATGGTTACTTACTCATGCCACCAAGGGTACAAACTATTTGGAGAAGAACAGCTCACCTGTACAAAGGGAAGGTGGAATGCAAAACCCCCCACCTGCCAAGGTGCCTCTCTTTTGTAGTTGTCTAGTATTGTTCAGTAAGAATAACATTACCGTACTAGAAGGTCTAAACATAATTCATTTTAAAGAATCCAATAAATCAGTCCAATAAATGTGCCTACTGTGAAAACTCATTCCTTTTCTGATGCTCTGATAAAGGAAGGAAGGAAGCTGATTATCCTTAACGTTTCATTTTACAGCTTCAGGATCCATCTATCCTAAGGTCAGAATTAAATTTGTTGAAACAAAAATATAAATAAATTGCAAAGAATCCTGAAAAAATACTTCTGCGATGTACTCCAGCATCATAGAAGAACAAGTTGGTTACCTCATATATAATTTTTTTCATATTTATATCTGTATGATTTGAATTTCAATTTCTTGGGGTTTCATAGTGGTCCCTTGTCTTGCTTTTACTTCTGCCTCACATATGGTTCTTGGTACCTTGCTCAAAAGTTGTGACCATCTCAAAACACCTGTGAGCTAGTTTCAAGTCTCCCAGAATTCAACTAAAACAGAACCAAAATAAGCCTGCCTGGCAAAATTTCCTTTTCTTTTTATTGTAAAGCATTATAGGTAAAAGAAAAAGCAGTAGGACCCATGCAGGCACTGGATGCTTTCATGTCCTTGGAGGGCCTGCGTGTGTGTCTTTGAGGGAACTAAAAAGCATGCCAGATTTAATTAACAGAAGGCATAATAGAATTCAGCCAAGCTGTCTAGGTTTAAGCTGAAGACTTCATTTTGTAAACCTGAGACATGAAGCAGGAACACATTTGTACAGATTCCTCACTTGAAAAGGGACATTATCCAGCTAGCACCTTTTGTACACACATGCACAGAAATGGGGAAATAGAAAACAGAATCCATTAAAAATGTGTGTGCTGTTCATGGCAGGTTTTCAGCCCAGAGACGCTTTGATTTAACTGGCAGTCTTTGACTGCCTGTCGTGGCTGGGGAGGAAAAAGAACTTTCACGAGGTGTCAGTCAGTACTGAGGTCTAGAACCCATTGCAGAGGCAATTCGCCACCTTGGAGTCAATGCATTAGCTGCGGATATTTCTCTCCCAGTGATCAAAGGAGAAAAGAATGAGTGCTGCTTCTGTATCCTTTCCTTCCCTGACAAACTTCAGGCTAACCTCATAACAATCCAGTGGAGTTGGCTGAGGGCAAGTAATAAAGCCACTGAAGCTGCAGCTGAGGAGGGATTTGAAGCTCGAGTTCCCAGATACGTTGTTAGCTCAATTGGCACATGCTGCCGTTCTTTCTGTGGCGTATGGAATGCCATCCTTGTGACAAGCTGCAGCCCGATGCACCCCAGCCAGCCTCACATAGGCAGTCATTTGCCGCATGGACCCAGCTGCTGCGAGGTGCAAGAAAAGGAAGATAAAATCGCCAGAACCAGCTGCACGCTGCCGGTGACAATACAAGCAGCCACTCGTCACAATCACAGCAGACATGTGATTGTGGTGAATCTGAAGGAGGAAGTGTCCAGGAAGTCTCAGAAGCGAGGCAGTGAAAGGAACTGGACATGAACCAAGAATTGTCATGAACCTGGGTTGTCAAGAAACTGACACATACAGCAGTGTACAGTTCAGTGTAGAGTATATTGGCATGTTTTCTCCCAAATCCGTAGCAAATTGAGAGACATGGAGAAAGGAACCAGGGAGCGACAGAAAGATTAACTCCTCATCTCTTCATTCATGTTAGGAAATAATGGGTGCTTTTAGATGTAGGACTCCTAATGGTAACAATCAGAAGGTATTTCAAAGCTGTTCATTCTTTTTCTCCTTAATGGGTTTCCTGCATCAGGGAAAAAGACAGAAGAACCATAAGAAAACACGGGACAGTCACAAGCGGAGGATGTCATCCTCTGGCCCTTCACAAACGTCCCTGCGTGAGACAGGGCAATGGTGCCATGAAAGGCTTGGCTAGAAGCACCCTCATAGCCAGGGGTACACGGGCCACTTGTCAGTCCTGAGGGCTGCATGGGGTGTTGGCCCAGAGTTGTGACGGGGCACGGGGCGTGTGCATGCATGCACACACATACATACCCGTGCACAAAAGCATATGCATACACTTGTGCAAGTGCACACACCCACAGTCACATGGCATGATCCTTCCTCATGGCTTAACAGCATCTTTATGGAGATCTCTGGGACAGGGAGGAGAGAGTATTAGGGGAGCCACAGGTTTCGCTCTTCTAGCTTCGATGCTGCAGGGGCCTGACTCCATTAGCACTCTGCGTATGCGTCTCCCCTCCCATACCATGAAAGAGGAAAACAGCAGGCGTTCATTCCAATGCGCTCTATCACTTTGGGACTCCACACTCACTTGCTTTGCACTTCCGCAGGCCACTGCACGCAGCGTTTCCCAGCTTGCCCATGAACATGCATATTCAGCCTCGGTGAAAGCACTGGAGAGAGAAAAGATTTAGCAAGCACGTGCAGGAAGATGCTGTAATGCATGGCGAATATATTTGCACGCAGGAGCTCCTGTTGACCCTCCATGAAGTCTGAGCATCAATGCTGCTTGGAGGAGAAAGCCATCCCCACACGTGTACAGTTGTAATGGGGTGTGATGGGGCAATTGAAACCCTGTCTTTTATCCATGTCTGGTATATCCCCTCAATTCCACCTGTTTAATGCCACCCAAAAGAAATAAAGCTGTTAAATGAATTATAACACTTTCCTACCCGGCCCCTTCAGCAGATTAATGATCTGGCAACGAACAGAATGGATAAATCGCATGAATCAGCCATTTCTTCTCACAGATTGTGTTAATACATTAAGCCACTCGAATAGGCTGCAATCTAGCTGCTGCATGGAAACAAAGAACTATAATGGGACATGTGCTAACTAAGAAGAAAGATGCTATGGGAGGCTGCTTGGGTAGCTGTTTGCTCACTTTTTTATGGTATGAAAGTCTTTTGTTTCATGAGTGTTTATGCAACATATTGATGCATAGTTATGCAACTTCTTGAACACACAGTGAAGCAAATTAGAAATAAATCAAGTAATAGATCCAGTCAAAAAGATGTTAGCCTCCATCAATGGGCTCTGCACTAGTGCTAATTCCAGCCATAGAGATGAAAGATGAGGACGATTGCAAACAGGAGCAGGAGGAAATAGCTGCCTTCTGTACTGGGCTCATTCATCATCTTACCAATTTTCTGCATACGATGCTCATTGAGTGCTTGTATCACTCTGTACTTATGCTCGTTTATGAGTTCTTTAGCTGACACTGCAACACCCCCCCCACCAATTTGTAAACAGTGGTGTGTCCCCCATTTGGCAAGTGAAAATATGTTGTTATTCATGAGTGTGAAAAAATACATTTTTTTCACTTGCACGATTATGCTCTTCTGCTATATGATAGCACCATGTAGACTATGTGGCAGAAGGTAGAAAAGGAAGCACTGTGCAGCACTTGCATCTCAGTGCTGTGAAAAAACCGAAACAGCGGATAAGCAGCATCATGTGGAAACACTTTTAGGCTCTCCGACTTGGCTGTGGGTTCCTGGCTTTCTGCTTCATACTCAGAGTGCTGCTATGCGGGGATGTCACTTCTCTGGTGCTCTTGTGAGAACATGCCAGGAGAACATCCATCCAAGACAGCATGTTTCAGGCTTGGAGTTCCCTGTGCTGACACTTGGGGACTCTTCAGTGGTTCAGTGGTTCAGTTTCTGGAAAGGTCAGACCCAGAACCTGAGAAATTAAGATAAGCAAAGATAAGTTCCAGGAGGTAGTTCTTGTACTGTGGCCATTTAGTGTGTTTGGCACATTTTGTTGGCTTTGGGACACAATTCTGTGACATGGTTGGGAGGGTCAACCCTTTTGCAGAGTAGGAGCAGGTGGTGCTTCTCATCTCTAGGTCAATAGCATGCTATGATGGAATTCCTATTACAGGGTTTACCCTGGCAATAAAGAAGAGCTGTACAGTCCTCAGCAATGTTATGCTTGGTGTCGTTGCACAGGGATTACTTTTGATCCACTCTGCCAATGGCTCCGTTGTGCTGCTGCCGTCTGACTTCCAAGGGCATGCTTCTGTTTTATAATAGTATCATTCTTGTGTTACTGTGTAGACTTCAATGAATGTGAAAACAAAATCAGTCACCCATGCCACTCCTTGGCTAAATGCATGAACATCAAAGGCACCTTCAAGTGTCTTTGTGCAGATCCTTATGAACTGGCAGAAGATGGAAAAACATGCAGAGGTAAGATGCCTACATTGCTTTGTTGACTAAAAAAAAGTACACTGGGGATACAGACCTTCCAGCATGTGGGTCTAAACTGGCAATGTAGACCCACATTTTTTTCACTGGCACGATTATGCTCTTCTGCTATATGATAGCACCATGTAGACTATGTGGCAGAAAGCAGAAAAGGAAGCACTGTGCTTCCTTTGGAGGTTCCACATCTGGCCCATGCAAATGTCTTCAGTCCATCCAAGTTTTGACCTCAGAAAAAATCCTCCCTGAGGAATCCCTTCTGTTATCTCTATGAGGAAATCTCAGAGTTACACCCATCATTCACACATGCTGCAGATGTGCATGCCAAAGCAACATCATTGTCTTTCCACATTTTGTATTTTCATAGTTTACACAGGGAATGACCATAGGTATTTTATTTTTATCTACTTACAGCACTTACACATTCCAAATTCCACTATGGAGATTCCAGAGCTGTGATTTTTTTTTTAAAAAAAAGCTGATAAAAAGAATAGAACAGCATGTCAAAATAGTATCAATAAAATGGTGGCTGGTTAGCTAGGAAGGTTTCCTAAACAAAATATGTTTTCAGGAGGTTGAAGATGGTGCAAAGCCTCTTACCTCCAGAGGAAGGGAGTTCCAGAGAATTGGAGCTGCGAGACAGAAGGTTCTTCTCCAGGCAGACTCCAGTCAAGCCATAAGTCACATCAGGCACATTCCATACTATGGCTTCAGAGACCAAGCAGGTTGGTCAGGGAGAAGGCTCACTCTCTCAAGTAACTACAAACTGTGCATAACTTTATATGCTAGCATGAAGACCTTCAACCTGGCCTGGGAGGGAATTTATTGGATTAGTCCATCAGTCTTCTGAGGTGGGCCTAGCTTTCTGAGCTGAAGATCTGCCACAGAAAGAACAAATCATTGTAGGCAGCCATCAGGTGAATTTCATCAATGAGTGGCTACATGAAGCAAATCTCCTTAGTCCAAGGCACTTGCTCCTGTAGCTCTGGTAGTGTAAAAAAGCATGGAAGAAATATTTGTTTTCTGGAGAACAACAGTGATCGTTATTTTTATCTATTAAAACTACTTTGATACCCATGACACCAGGATGGTGTACAGGAGGCATGAAAAAGCTAAAACATGCCACAAACTTAATGTTATAACACCTTTATAAAAACAAATTAGGGGCATAAAAACAGCAGAACAAACTATGCATAAACTAGTTCTGTAACTTTAAAATGTCTGGTAGATCAGGTGTATCTTAGTGCTGGGATGAAAATAGTGTTGACACCCACCACCTCTGGTGGAGTGGGTTAGCCAGTCTAAACCGCACCAGGAAATCATCTGCCTGTACTTCCACACTATTCACTTCCACCATATTGAAAATCCCAGATCCAGAGTGTGACCTGCAGAATTCATTGGACCAATGATATTTTGAGACAGCTGTGAACACCACTCACAGGTGGAATTACAGAGGCATACTTATTTTCTATTATGTCACAAGCTTCGTAATTTCAAGACTTCACAAAGTTCAATATAAACTTTGGAGAAAAGCTCTAGACAGTTAATGAAAATGTCTGAAGCAGTAGGTAGCCCACACAATCTTCCATGGGGCCCATTTGTATTCCTTTACATGCCATGAATCCTTTGTGCTTGATTAAATGCCTCAGCCTTACTATTTTCAATCAGTCAACAGCTATTTATTCCCAAACACCCCTATTTTAGGGCCAGATTAGACCTGACATGCAGTCTAGATGATTCTAAAGGCAAAGGGGATTGATGACTAATGTGCGCTACTATAAAAAAGGGAGGGCTTCCTGCGCCAGGGTGTCTGATTCCTATGAAAGGCGTTGATTGTATTCACCCACGGCAATAAGTCAGAATTGCCCTGGTTCATTGTGAACAAGAATGCATGCAGGTCACTTGATTCTCCCCCTTACATGTATGGGCATAACAAATTAGAAATGGCAAGTTTTACAGGATGTCAGATTCCAAGCTTCTGATTTATTGCTCCCAAACTAACAGGTTCTTAAATGTGTTTGGTTCAGACTGACCAACCAGGAAGTGGAGTTTGGACTTTACACAAAGCTTTTCATGTCCGGCTTGTTCGTGCAAAGGGAGGCACGAAGGGGGAGCAAATGAACTGCGTGCACCCACACACTGCTTGTTCACAGGAAACCAGGATAGGCAGTGATTCCAGCATCCTGTACTCTGTTTTATGCATGGTAGGTAGGTAACTGTTATCTCGCCCACAGCAGGATGTAGCAAATTCCAGATTCATTCATAGCAAAATAATCAGATGTTGAATTTCCCTGAGGGAAAGGTCATGACTCAGTCATAGAACTCATGCCATGCATGCAAAAGTCCCAGTTTCAATCCCTCTTGTCTGGCCTTTGAGTTTATGTTTGCAAGCAGGGCTTCATCTGAGCAGCCACAACACGCAGCGGCATTCAGCAGGGTGAATCATAAACTGCCACAGTCACCAGGCCTCATTAATTTATTTTAAATTTGTGATAAAAAGATCCTCCATCCCAAAGGGGATTTCAGGGCAGTGAACATCAGGATCAAATATTCAATCCTATAAAAACAGGACAAAATGGAAATGTCAGTGCAATAAATATTTTAAAATTTAAAATATTTTACAATTTTAAGATAAGTTTAAATCAAAGACTTCAGCGTTGGCTAAGCCTGTGGACATGTAAACTGGTGCACTTGACAACATGATAAATAAAGAATTTTGACATATGCTGAGATAAAATAAGTCAAGAACAGCTTGAGCTGCTTGTGATTTGCTTTTTATCTCAAAACAGTCTTCATAATTTGGAGATGATTGCTATGTTAGGGATGTACAGATTTAGAGCAAATTAAAAATGATTAGCATGTGCTGCATTATTCCAGCAACTTCAGGCTCCTGACTGAAGTGCTTTTAAAATCTCTAAGAGGTCTAGTAATATTTTATGCTGTGCACACATACAAACCCCATTCACTTTAATGCTTGGAATCAGCCACAGTCTCTTCAAACATCGTTTGTCATGTGTTTGGTCCTCACTAAGCATTTTGGAGGGGTTTCCCCTGAGGGCTTCCCCTCTTTGCAGAAGAGTTTGTGCTTCTGAAACTCGAGCTTCCTCAGAGGCTGCTATGCTTACCCTTCCTGTCAGCCTGGTGCCATTTTCACTACATAAGCAGTGATACTCACCCTGTGCACAACACGAAAGATCAGTTGATGCAATCCCTGTGTGCTTGCACGGAATGCCCCATGCACAGCTTGGACTTCCTGTTCATATTACAGGTCCTTGCAATTAGTATTATTATATTTCAATTCCTCTGAGGTAAGCACTGTTACATCCCCCACTTTACCAGTAAGGTCCGTGTGTGTGTGTGTGTATTACATTTATATGCCACCCCATAGTCCAAGCACTCTCTGGGTGGATTGCAGTAAAACAATGATAAACAACAATAAAACAGCAGTAGAAAAAATAAATCGATAAAAACAATTAAAAGAAAATCCATTAAAAGAGTAAAAAACCTAACAACTGGCAAAAAATGCAATGGGCAACACAGCAATTAGATTAAGACAATAATTAAAGCCATTAGCTATTAAAGCACCTGTTAAATAAGAATGTCTTTACCTAAAGCTGAAAAGAGAGCAGCGACATCGGCAGGCACTCCTCCTTTGGTGGGTATTCCATAGATGGGATGAGATCACAGGGAAGGCCCCTCACTTCCTTTGGGGATGGCTCTTGGAGAAGGACCCTATAGCAACCATGTTACTGGTCCAACACCTGGAGCTCCTATATACCGGCATAGTATAAGGCACAGCCCACCTGGAGTTGTACACTGGCAAGGGCTACCCCATGGCATCTACCCTGGTCAAGTGTGAGACCTGCTTAGGCAGCCATCACTGAAAACTTCTGTAGAGAGTGGCAGTCACTTTTGGCTCCTGCACAAGCTTCAACAGTGTAATGAGATTTCTATAAGTTGAAGAAATTTAAAAGCAACTGAATCCAAAAGCATTTTTGTTTGTCAGATTGGTTGTCCTTTGATTTTCAGGGCATAAATTCTTCTGGTGTCTAATATAGATAGGCTTTGAAGAGATTATATGATTTTCAAGGGAATATTCAGTGCATATGAAGTCTTCAAGGGAATATTCAGTGCGTATGCCTCTCAGAGTCTATAAAGGCTTGATCTGTCACGCTGCACAAGTTGGAGGTATTGTGCATTGTGAAGATCACAGTGCTGGGGGTCATCAGCACCATCCATGGTGACCTAAATCCCAAATGGCGCTCTCACAGCAGTCGCACTGCCCAAGTAATAGCTGGGTTGGAACTGGTCGCAAGAAGCAGAAGAGAATTTGAAAGTGGGCCATGTACTATCGTTTGCAGATTAATGGACTCTCACACACAGCATAATAAAACCTTTACCTTTTCTTCATTGAGGAATTAAAATTTAACACTGCATCCTTTCAGATTCTGGAAGGCTTTCCAGTAGCTCCCTCGTCTCCATAATTTTAGGTATAATTGTGGTTTGTTGTTTGGTGGTGCCAAGCTGGTTTGTGATTTGCCGTTGGTAAGTGTCAAGTCTGTTTCTTTCTTTCTTTGGCCTGGCCAGATAGTTTGGGATTTTTTTACCTTTCTTCATGGAATTTTCCTTAATTATGCTTTCCATATGCTCACAAAAGCCCCTTTATGGTGGTCATTAGCATTCCTAGGAGATCCTCATCAAATAAAGATTTCCATGTGTACATAAAGGGCACTGTCCAAGGCTGTCACTGTGCTCCTGCTGTTTCCGTTGCACCGGCGGGGCCATTGCTGAAACCAGTACTTCCAGCAGGAAGCCATGAAAGGGACAGTAGCGCTCCTCTCTGGAACGGGGCAGGTCAGTAGAGGCCCCTTTTGCAAGCTGTGCTAACCGGCTCCCTTCTGGAAACAAGTGTGCAGGCTCATTTCTTATTGCCAGGAATGCTGGCTTCCATTGTTCTAGCCGTGAATCCCGCTAGTGTCTGAGCAGCCTTGGATACTGCTCATGATCCCTGCAGATGACCAGATGAACATACCAGTGTGCCAGTGTGGTGTAGTGGTTAAGAGCATGGGACTGGGACTTGGAGGATCTGGGTTCTAGTCCCCACTCAGCCATGGAGCCAACTGGGTGTCTTTGGGCCAGTCACAGACTCTCAGCCCCACCTACCTCACAGGGTTCTTGTTGTGGGGATAAGATGGAGGAGGAGAGATGATATAAGCTGCCTTGAGCCCTTTGTAGGAAAAAGGTAGGATATAAATTGCAATATAAATATAAATAAAAACCCAGATCCTCTGAGTCCCAGTCCCATGCGCTTAACTGCTACGCCACACTGGCTCTCATAGACTGAAGGTAGCACCTGCCACAGCAATCTCCTCCCTACCAGATGCGCTCATTGTTCCCACAAATGTAGCCTTTACAAGGATTATATTTTGGGTGGTATATTCATCTGGGCTCTGTGACCTCTTTTTAAACACTATACAGAAACAAGAAATATCAATCTGAAATGGATAATTTAATACTGTTAATTGTCTGATAAATATACTAAACATCTGCCAATAAGACTGGCTTAAATCTTATGCTCAGTGTTTGATATTATGTTTAGTTCATTTGCTCTCTTGTGAGTAGAAATGTTTTGCAAAGCACACCAACAGAGCAAAAGTGAGAACGAGAGCGAGAACATACACTGTATCAGCAGCTTTCCAAAGTGGGTTCTTAAGGCTTACTGCTGTTGTCTCTGTTCTAACTGCATGTGCAGCCATGGAGTGAATCAACAGTTTTATGCAACAATTGCCGATATTTGTCTAAGGCTGCTTTTCCAGAAAAGGGCTTTATTGCCTAATTCCTAATACATGACATTTTATAGGGCTTCAAACTCCAGACAACATTGTCTTCCATTTGTAGTGCTCCCATTGCGTCTTACCACTTATTTCACCATTTTAAATTATGATGAAATTTTTAAAAAACTTTAAGGAAAAAGACAGAATCACTGCACAATGCCTTCTGAACATTAGCAGTAGTCGTCCACCATCAGGAAGTGTGCCAAGTCAGAGTGTGTAGCCCACCTTCTATTATACATGCCAAGAGGTATGGTTTCCTCTTCCTTGTGGTGTGATCCTATGGCTCAAGGAAAACTGTGAAATGGAAACTACGCAGTTTTGTAAATTAAAGCTAGGCTGGTGCTTATATTGGAATAAATATTTTTGACAGCATTTCAGCTGGAAGAGACCCTGACTGAAATCCCTGTTCTTTCAGGACGTTCGTTGACTTTGGGCCAATCAGCTCTCCCCTTCCCTTTTTTTGTTTGTTTTTTTCAGGGGAAAAGAGCATATACATGGTTAGAAGAATAAAAATCTAAATTAGTAAAGATGGGAACAGAAGGAAATAGAAAGAAATCTACTAGGCTTCCCTATGGACAACTGTGTCAAATAACAGCCAGGAATGAGTGGCATCAACCGGTTGTATGATGGTTGATGCCACACTGGTTGTATTTCTGGGTGGGTGGCAATCCTGCCTGAAAATCCAACACAGAGTGAGAGCCATCACAAAGACTTTATAATTCTGACGTCTGTAAAATTGGACAAATCACTGACACTACAGTGTCCAACTCCACGGAGGGGAGAGCAGTGCGATGCATTCTGGAGACCTTTCCACCAAAGTCTGTCCCTTTGTCAAGACAGCCCATACTTGAAAGCTAGCTATATGGGACATGTTGCTGCACAAACAAGGCTGTGGAATGGCTCAATTCCACATTTTGAGTTAGATACAGAATGTGGGTCATGGAAAGTGCTTGTATTAAAACCAATTTAAGTCTTATTGACTTTGGCAGAAGCAAGCCTTAAAAATAAGTGCTTCCGCATAATTGAATTGTGGAGCAGGCTATTAAGCTGCAACACCAAAGCATTTATTTTGGAGATAGTCTCACGGGGAGGCCACAGTGAAGTCTGTGGAGGAAATTCAGGTCTGGCCCCGGAGCATGTGGCGTGCTCACCTGAGCTTCTAGCCTCGTTTGGATGCCTCGTCCTATGCCATTCAAAGAACTGAAAAGGTTTTCCTTCGCACAGCAGGACGTTTTTGGTTCACATCAATATCTCAGTCTGTGGAAAATGCTATTATCATTGCTCCCTGTTGTTTTTGATGTTATGTCAAAGGGTCTTAAAGGCTGATCATACATTTCTTTAGAAGCTGCTGTAAGGTAAGAGGAAAAAAAACCATTTTCCTTTTGAGCACAGCAAGGAGAGCACAGCAAGGGGTCCATTACCTACAGGACTGACTTATCACAGCAGGCTATAAGCTTGGCCACCATTATGATGTCTCCACTCTGTGCCATGCCAAGATTGGCAACTCAGTTAACTGGAGGGGACCCACAGCCTGCCTTTGACGCTTCTATCAATAGCACTACAAACATCCACCTCGAAAGACAGCAGTCCTGCTAGAGGGCTCATGAGAGCAGCAGGCGTAGCTTTTAGTCCTGTAAGAAGAGATGAGGATTTCTGACATTTCCGTGGTTGGGCCTTTTTCTTTTTGTCATCTGTGGTGTCGTGATAGGGAACAGCCTTTTGAAATTTGTCCTGTGATACAGTCATGCTGCTCTGAAAGAACCGGAGCACGCCGGCTTACTTGGATGGAGGAGTTCATTGGCAACGGAGCCTTGGTGCCACCGAGGAACATGGCAATGAAGATGCAGTCACATCAGCTACTGTCCTCAAAGGCTTCTCTCAGAATTCAACAAACAAACCCCATGAACAATGCCAGAGGGAAGCCTCACTCCCAAAAATGTTCTTTATCATTTCCATTTATTAGGAACTTTATAAAACAGCTTGTCTGTGGCTGCGTCCTAGTTATTCCTTGTGCTGGGAAATCATTGCGCTTCACCAGAGGAATTGCAGCTTGCAGTCTTGGGCTATTGTGCAGATTCTGCAAGTACACCTCACCCTCTTCTGCCCACACTGTCGCCATTTCCAGTGATGGGATTTTTATGTGGGTGGTGACTTAGTGGGCAGCTGCGTTGGAGCTATCACTGCTCAGCACATTCTTTAAATCCTTTGCAGTGGATGCTACTTTTATCACCCATTATTATCTTTAATTGGTCTTTTAAGTAGAACTAAAACTCCACTCAAGCGAAATCAAAGTGCCAAATGTCATTTGAATGAATGTTATAGTGCTATAACTACTGGAGAGCCAGTGTGGTACAGTGGTTAAGAGCGTGGGACTGGGACTCAGACGATCTGGGTTCGAGTCCCTGCTGAGTCATGGAGCCAACTGGGTGACTTTGGGCCAGTCACAGGCTCTCAACCCCACCTACCTCACAGGGTTGTTGTTGTGGGGATAAGATGGAGGAGGAGAGATGATATAAGCTGCCTTGAGCCCTTTGTAGGAAAAAGGCAGGATATAAATCAATCAATCAAACTACATAATGCTAATATGGGGAAAATAAAACGAGGTATGTTTACACACGTGTGTGCTTGCACACATGCACATTAGGGATGCGTGAGCATTTTGTTCCAGTTTGCTCTTTATAAGAATTTACCAAATTTCACAACCGTCTTCTACTTATTAGATACATTTATATCCCACCTATACTGAGAGGGGAAGAGGCTGCAGCTATCCCCTTATGCCTTCGGCCAGTTCTTCCTCCCTCTCTCTGGCACTAAATCTAGGCAGCTGAAAACAGCTGCCTGCATGGGATGCCCCCCACTGCAGCTCACTCCATGGACTGGATGCCCATCAGCCCCTGAGTTGGATTGCACACTAAATGTCGTAGTCCCAGCGTGGCGTGGAAAGCGATGGGTACCACATCTTCTCTTTTTCTTGCTGACAGTTCTTCAGTCATGCTCCATAAATAGTAGTAAGGCGGGTAGCAAAGGATAGGCTGCTGTGTGAAGATGAAAAAAGCAATTTGGGAGGCTTGGGGAAATGTGTTACCATACTGTGAGGGGAAGCATAGACACATTCAGATGAAAGGTCCGTGGGCACACTGCATGGTCATGGCTGCTACTGAGAGGCTTTTAACACCTGTCCCAGGTAAACATGATACATGCGCTACAGGGTGAACTCTTAGATTTGAGACAGTCATCACACCAGCATGAAAATCATCTTGACTCTAGGATTTTCTCCGGATCAAAGATGGTCAGCCCAACTGCTTGAAAACAGACAACAACCCTAAAATAGCCAAAGGCGTGTAGATGGATCATTCCCTTAACTGATCATCCAGAAATATTACAGAAAACAAAAACCAGAGTTAGGGGTCCGGAGGAGAAAGAATGCCTGGTTGTGCAGAAATGTAGCACATAAAATCTGAGCTACAGATCCTTGTAGAAATCGTAAGAATGTTGACATGCTTTTCTCTTCTTATTTATGACTTGGTCTGAGCTATTTGCTTGTATTTCTTTATTTGTCTTACAGACTGAGCTATTGGTTTCTGTGAGTGTCTGATGTTGCATGCTTCCGACATTGCATTTCCCTACTAAGCTTGGTGAACCATTCCACTGCTTCACCTTTGTGGAAGCAGGTTCATTGGTCTTTAAGCACCTTTCTCTTTTGGGTGTGTAGCTT